CCGCTGCTGAAATTGATACTCTTCTCACTTACATTTCGTATGCATGTATGTAGGTAAATATATCTCTAAACTTTTCGAGTCAAGAGGAAATATATATATATGCATACATATATATGTATTTGTATATATATATATATATATATATATATATTAACTTGTATGTATGTATGTGTGTGTGTGTATTGTTTGGTTATACCATTGTACGGTTGAGTGCTTGATTTGTTTTGAAACATGCTCATACAAACATACACACACACACTCACACACACATACATACATGTTTGTATATGTTATTTGCGGAAGTACGGAAGTCTAGTACTTACTCACTTAACGGCAAATGTACAAATAAAAAGTGGATCAAGTGTTACTAGTGTTTACAAGTGTCACACAAGTCAATTGTTGACTTTTTGAGTGTTGAAGTGAGATTGCAAAATAGAAAAAAATTGTATATATGTAAATATAGATTCCTCCAGTCAGGTGTGATTAAGCCGAGTTGTATACGTAAAGATTATAAGTGGAAATTGTAGAAATATTTTTAGCTCGTTTGTTGTGTTTCAATAAATAAACACTTGAAGTGTTTGAGATTTTATTTTTTGAGAATATTTATGGATAATTACTGTTAGTATTTAAGCCCTTCAATTTTTTTAAAGATTTAAAATAATTAAATCGTAAGACCTATACTAACATGTGGAGTATTCGTTTAAAGGGCAAAATTGAAGAGGAACTGCCGCATTAAACCCATGGAATGGGAACAACGCGCTCGTCTACATGATATAGCAGGGGTGATGAGGACTACTCACATAAAGGCCTAAGAAGTCATCCTTTACATTAGACTAATTAACATACAAGTGATGTATAAAACAGTTCTAACAGCCAACCGCCTAAATGTTCCACAAAGTTGTGTCCAGTCTTCAAATTGTGTGGGACATGATGGCGTTTGGAAGTTTTTATTGCAATTCGGTGTAAATGCAACCACAACCGAAAACTATATGCTGGGAAAACTCTACCTATTCCTTCCATAGTGTGGAATATTGTACAGTGACAGTGAGGATGCCCATAGCTGTACTGATCGGCCTTATGTGAGGCAAGCAGAGAAGCAGGATTCTTTTGTGACTACGCCAATTACTAAGGTAGCTTCAATTTCAATTACTATACTCTGTAGTTCAAGCAGAGATTGAGCGCATGACAGAAAGCGCCAAATAGGCAACCGGTTTAACGGGGAAATCGGTCAAGTTTCTGGTAGACAGTCAAGTGGTAGTTAAAGTAATTATGTGTGCTCGCGGTAGTCGAGTGGTTAATATTACGTACCATTCGGAAGGCTCGGGTTCAAACCCCTGTCCAAGTTCCAAAAGTTAAAAAATATTAAATTAAATAAAAAATTAAGATACATTTTTAATTGCAGTCGCAGAAATACCATCAGACGTTCGGAGGCTGCTTAATGCTTCAGCATTTCCTTATCCTTTGCAGAAGGAGGGACTTAAGGTTTACTCTTCTTGTCTGGAATGAGAACTATGACTGTAGATATCTTCTTTGTTTTTAGCTCGATAATGTGAAGTGACCTTCTTTTGTCTTATTCTGGCCACATTGTTCGCGTCATTCTTCATATTGAGTTATCAACTTTAACAAATAACTGTTCAATTATGAGCTTACAAGTGCTTAGCGGAATGATGGTGATTGTGTATGGGAAGCGCCCCTAGTTGCAAGCTCTTCCGCCATCTCTTTAGCCAGCATGTTTCTGCGTCTAGGATCCATACCAGGCTCGAAGAAATATGTTTAACCATTGCGTTAAGTAATATGTGGCAATTTTCTATGGTTTTCGATTTGATTGTTAGAGTTTCAAGAACACTTAATATGGCCTGTCTATTTGAAGGATATGAATAAGATTTTCTGAGAACACCCTTGAACTGAGACAATTGACAGCCTCGTGCACAGTAGCCAGTTCCACATGGAAAACACTGCAGTGATGTAATAAAAGAAAAGATTTGTAATTGCCAAGATTCCTGAAGTAAACTGCTCCACCGTCCCTGTTATCTGTGACTGTTTGGCTTTACCTGTCATATTGGTTTCTATTCGGGATAGCTACCTTGAAATTTGTTATGCAGTCAGAGAATGATTTGCAGTAATTCGTCTTTTCTGGTAGACGAGACTTACTTAAGATATTAGTAATCTCATGTTTTTAAACCTTCTGATTGGATATATTTTGTAGTTTTACCTCGGCACAAGCAGTATTATGCAGCCCCATAATGCCGATGAGAAGTAGATGCAAGAGAACATTTTTAGCCAGACAAACGTTGGGCCCCACTAACACGCAGAACCGCCGTCTTCTGCACTCTATATAATTTGGAGGTGGTTAAATTTTTCTCGTATGTTGGCCACCGAATTATAACTTCATAGAGAAGTATAAACCTAACAATTGCGAAACAGAGCCAATCGCACTATTCCCTGCTCAGAATGAGTCCCATATTTTTGGGCAGCTCAGCGCTTGAGAACATTGGTGTTGGAAACTTAGGAATTTTTAAGAATTTCTAGTGAGAAGAACAAGCTCTGTCTTCTGTAGGTTGATGATTGATCCAGCGTTATAAACCCAATTTTCTATCTTAGTCTGATCTGCATGACATCATATAAAGTTTGTGGAAACTCGCAAATTACTATAACCGACAGATGATCCGCATGCGCTATGGTCACCATAAAACGCCGCCCTCCTCCATGTTCCTTAGGAGTTGGCTTGCATCCCAAACCCATAGAAGAGGCAGGAGGACTAAACCTTGTGGACTTCGTTTGTTGACATAGTTACTAAGTTTGTTAGTTTAACAGGTTAATTGATCACGGTAACCTGATCAAGCTCACTTCAACCTATTGGTCCGTTGTGATACTTATTTTGGTGCTGTTAACGACATTCCTTGTCTAAATGTTGAAACCAATCGGTGTGTTTTATAAAATTCTTGTTATTAATCTGCAAGGCAGTCGAAGAAGAAATTTCCGAGATAACGATGATGAATCGCACTGAGAGCTGGGCAAAACAGAAATAGTATTTCATCGATTCTTCCTCATCTATGTTAGTTGTAGTTGCAGCTGTTGATATATCTGAGTACCAATTCTCCCGCGTACTCAGATTTTATGATCCTGCTTGCGAGCCCTTGGTTTATAAAAGCAATCGAAAATCCGAAAATCGGCGCCCTGGAAAATCAAGGATTAAAGATACCCTAAATAAGTAATAAGCTACCAAGCTGTAAACTTTAACCGAGATAGATCGCACATTTTGTGATACCACCATGTGTAACGCTGCCTCCATTGAGCTACTTTCATTTTGGCGCATTGGTTCTTCGGGAGTTTATGATGTACAGTAGCTTTAACGTGAAACTCTCATCAATCGTTTATCTATTTTAAGATGGAATGATGTCAGGTTTATTGGTCTGAAATTCCAAGGTTTATCATGGGATACCTTTCCACCTTTGGGGGAAAAACAATTTTCGATTCTCTTCATGATTTCATGAAATTAAAGGCGATACAGTCCGAAAAATTATTCTTATTTAAAAGATCTATTTTTTTACTCTTTACCATAAAAAGATGTGATCTGCATAGTCATCTTAAAATTGTGTACCTTTTCAGGCGCAACTATTTTAGGTTAGAAAGCCCCTCATCTGACTAAGGTATGCAGTAGGTATTTAACAGAATCATAACAACCAACATAAATTATAATGACTCATCTCCAGACATACAATAGTACATGCATTCTATGAACTAAAACAGGTCCATAACACAAACACCGTTAGTTGCTTATTTTCATTTATCAACAGCAACAAACCACCGACACTTTATCAACACGAAAAGGCCATCAATAATCAATGAAACAATTGGTAAATAACAAAAGCAATCAGCACTTGACATGATCAACAAAAGCATACAAACATACAGAGTATATTTATTTTACACCAGTAACAACATACAAAGATATGTACATAACGAACAGAGAGCGAATAATGTTAAGTGATGACGCGCCGTTTGGACTGTCATGTTAGAGCAATATATCTTATAAAACAAAGGCGAAAAAACAGAAGAAATAAGAAAAAAAAATTGTGATCACCTTAGGAAATGGTTTGAATGAGTGTACTTGGACTCACCCTTACGCCCTCTTGCTCTCTCACAGCCATCCTGTCATCTATTGCATTATTTATGTTACTCATACGCCATGGAATGCCTACTGCTCACTGCTCGTGGCTACCTGTCAGCGTACGATTTCGCTCTCGACGAAGAAGCAGCTTGAATTTACGAACGTAGACAACCCGTTGTGTTTCTGGTCCATTGTCTCAGTCGAGGTTGTATGCATTAAATCTTTCTACTCTTCTCTGTATACCTTTCTTACTGGCTTTTTCTTCTTGTGGTTTTCAACACTTAAGCCTTTTGTTTTTATCTAGGAAATATTTTTTTCTTAATTCATATGTGTGCTCTTAGAGACGGTGCAGTGCTTCTTTGTTTTGTCACATATTTTTTGAATTTTTCCCGTTCAGTCTGGTATGTAAATTTATTTTTTTATTGCTTTGTACCTTCCATATATGATTTATTCAAAAGCAACTCATTGTTTTGCATATGAGTTTTTTATATTCTTATTTTTTTAGGTAAAATATTTGCAATTCCAAAAAAACGCAGCGTGCGACCTGTGCAATCAGATATTGAGTCATGCTACTGATTGAATAATATTCATTATATTTGCTCTTGACTCGGTAAAATATTCTTTGGATATCAGTTGAACAAGTTTTACACATTTTTTGAAACCCTATTCGACTATCCTGGTGTCGTACCAACATCCAGAAAGTTGTAGAAAAATAAAAAAATAATTAAAAAAAAAAACATAAAATTCAGAAAAATGCATGGAAATTTTTTTTTAATCGAACGTACGGTCCATATATATTAATGTTTGAGGATTATTTCATGCAAGTGTTGACCGTGAATACGCCTAAAATGGTCCATCCGAACTCGCCCCTTAATAAGTCTACTGTTACATGGGTGGCACCGTTGACGTGCGTACACTCCGAGCGTTGACACCAGCACAGAGCAATATTTTGCAGCAGCAGAGTTACGCACGCGTAGACAGAGATGCGAACGGTTTTCCACTTGAGAGCATTCAGAATGATAAACAAGGTAAGAGAAGTTGGTACGATGTGAACTGCCACGTCGCCAATGTCAGCTTCGAAATCCAACGTGGAATCACTCCCACTGGTTTCTAACGGCAGCGAAAGATCCCCTGGTAGGTACTTGGTAATTCTAACTTGCGTTGAGAAAAAGGAATGCGATATAATTGCATTAGTGACGCTTTTGCCATTGAAGAAGAAGAAGAATGTATTAAAATTCTACGCTATTACTCCTTATTCCGTTACTGCAATTCTTGCTTAACTAAAGTTAAAATTATGTGTTACTTTAAATAAATTTAAATATTACAGTGGATATAAATGAACATCCTTAAATAGTTAATAATGGACAATTTCGAACGAATAATTTCGCATATAAATAAATAGAAAACTTCACTATATTTTATATGCCAGTAATAGCTTATATGTATAAATGTGCGTATTATTTGTCGTCGCAAATGAAATGTTGCAATTGGAAATAATAATAATGATTGTACCAGTAGTCATATTGCATATAATTCGTACTGAAGTACTATTTCAAAACTGCAAATGTTTATTTGTGTGTATGTGTGTGTATATATTTTGAGCAATGTGATTAGCATGCATATTGCATGCCACAAGGCGGAAGGAAGTGTTAAATTCAAATATGACAAATGACATAAATTAACCGCATTGCTAAGACAGATATTACGCATACTCGCATATACACACACATATATATGCCGAATGCACTTCTTGTCATAAAACATACATACATATACCTGTATATCAATTTACTTATGCCATCTTGTTTTGTTATTATTGTTATTATTATTATTAGTGTTGTTGCGCTGTTGGTATGTGTAGTTTTGAAATTTGTTATCAAATTGCTGTTGATCTTTTGTATTTGTGCGTATATACATATCTATATATAAATATTTACGTAAATACTATTTATCCATGTGTTTGTAAATATGTACTGAGTAAGTTCAAGTTGTTGTTATACTTCAAATGCAGCTTAAGATTGATGTGCGACGGCTGAGTATCAACTTGCTGGCAACTAATGTTGCAAATAAATTTAGACGTAAATTATGTACGTACCCACGAGTATATATTTAGAATGTTGGTGAAGGTACAGTGACGCACGAAGGAAAAATGAAACAAATAAATAAAATTAAATTTGAAAGAATTATAAAAAATTAAAAAAATAACAATTAAACAAAAATTGGATTCATGTAAGAGTTACTTACGAGCCGCTCACTGCATACAACGATTAACTCCACTTTTTGAAAAATCTTAAATTTAAATGTCAATGTCTTTGGCATCATCATACATTTTTATATATATAATAACTTTTGTGAATAATAAATATTAACAAAAGTGTTTGGCCATTGAATAATAAGCGATTTATTTCAGAAGCCTTTTCGTTTACGTCCAAACTCTAATGTAAATAGTTTCTGAACTGAACACTGCATCTGTTCTGTAGTTTCATTCTCTCTTCGTAGCAAGCTCGAAAGCTATCACGGAAATCACAGCTGAATCAATTGACATGAAAGTTTTGGTAAGACATTTTTCCACCAAATGATTGGTACCATATAATCAAAGCAAGTAAAGAGAAAGCGCCATTTCATCTATTTTAGTTCACTCTATCACTAACAGAAAAGTAACCGCCACATTGCTTCTAGTAAATTGGCTTAAAAGTTAAAGTTAGAAAGGTCCAAACCCTAACTCATCTAATTTAAATGTGAATATAATACACATACAGAATTTCAAGCAATTAATAAAAGAAAATTATTAGTGGATATACCGCAAAATTTTTAAAAATATAGATCAACATTTTTTAATATATCCTAAAGATAGAACTGTAACAAAGGAAAAGTGGAGAGACATGATGGACCTGCTTAAAGTCATTCCTCTTGTTAAACATGATTACTATAAGAACTTGTCAACAAATTGAAATGCAGAATCCTCGCTACAGCTGATGAAGAAGACATCATTTATAATATTGCTGAATCATCCCAAAAAATAATGCCACCAGCATTAGCTGCTATGAATTAAGTACAAAAATTATATTAAATTCAGCAGCCAACATAGATTTTTATGGAAAAGCTGTGATAAAAATGTAGAATAACTAACTTTTCTGTAATGAAAAACTTAAATATGTAAAGACCAAATTAATTTGAATTTATATTATCAGAGGAATTTTTAAAAACAGTTTACTTTACATCATCGCGTTTCTCAACTAGGCGTTTTATGATATCGAACGATGTGTGCACTGAGCGGCTCATATGTGCAGCAAAGAATTTTTATTTAAAGTGCAGCCCAATTGGCACACAATCTAACATTTTTTATAACTTTTTTTTAAATTGAATAATGCTATATTTGCTTTTAAATTTTTGTGGCCCTGAAAAAATATGCAAACATAGTAAAATTATTTTTTCAAAAAGTTAAAAGAAAAATCAAAGTCCAAATATTTTTTAAACTTCGTGGATGAAATGTCATGTTTGATTTAAGTTTAACTATTTCTATATGTAAGGAACTTTTATAGGTTCTGACTTTATTAATTTTGACAACCATTGTTTTTCCCGTTTTAAAGGGTTCATAAAAAAAACTTTTCTCATACAATCACCAAACTGGGGACTTGCGACGTTTCATTAAATTTTCAACAAATTTCAAGATGAGCCTGAATGATTACATACTTATTACCGATGGTGGAAGTACTTCGGAGGCCACCTCTACAAATATTTTAGTGCAGGGATCCCTCTTCCACCAATGTCACAGACTAATATTAAGGCTTATTTTTATTTGCTAAATTTTTGATTCGAAACATCGTGAATTGCAACGGATTCCGTTGAATTCAGCATAGTGCTTGCAAGTGCTCCTTCATCGAAACTAATGGAGTTGCGCATCATCATGTACGCTACCATAATTACCGGCAAGTACAACTACACGCGCCAAAAAACTAATCCAAAACTTCACGAAAAGTCAGCAGCGTCGCCTTTAAGGCGTTTTGAAGAAATTACAATTAGGAGATCGCCGTTCCAGCGACTTAAACAGTGAGATGCGGCGCACCGAAAGACCAGCGCTTAGTGAAAGTATACTCCACGACCTCTGGGCAGGCCGATTTTCACCTGGCTGGCTGCTATCATCGTCACCAATGTTCCAGTCAGCGAGAAGGTTAAAATTGCAGATTCAATCACCGAATGCCTGATATTAAAAGATGGCCACGTGTGTACCATTAGCTCCGAAACTCAGCCATCAGAAAAAAATTCCAATTTGCGAGCTGAAATCGCCGCCTTGTCAAAGCAAGTCAATTTGCTTTTGTCCAGGTTTCCATCGCACCAAAGTCAACGAAATGGTTCATCTGTACTCAGCTAGGATGAGGTAATTCTAAAGCTGCATCTGATTTTACGCAGTGAGCTTATATTGAAATTTGTGATAGCAGACGTTGCACCATATTAGGTGCCGACTTCTTCGGACACCATGACCTAGTTGTAGATTTGCAAGGGAGGCGTCTAATCGATCGTACCACTCTTCAAATATTCCCGTTCATAGCAAGCTAGAATCAAACAACTACCCCTTCTTCGGGATGACTCCATTCGGCCATGATAATAAGCACCCTACAGAGGTCCATTCAAGGTTGTTAGCCACGGTCCTAAGTACTTCGTTGTCGAAGTCAATGCTAGCAAAGTCAAGGTTTCAATCGATCGCCTAAAGCCTGTCTGCATCGCAACAGGTACATCTCTTTAGGAGCAGTGAAACTCTGACAAAATCCTTTAAATGGCAACTCTGACATGTTAACTTCATTCATTTTGACGATCCTTGATTTTTTCGGTTTGACGATTGAATAAAAAGTTCTTTTCTGAAGTAACAACCAATTAAATTACAAATCACTTTTGTGCTGTTCACAAAATTGAACGAGAAAATTAAGATAAAGTGTCTGATAAAGAGCACGCTAACGTTAGTTGAGTCACCTTTTTTAACACTCATCGAAATTTAGCAGAGCTCAATTGGGAAGTACCAAAAAAAAAAAAAGTAAACAAAAATTGTTTTTTAAAAATGATTCTAGTTTTTGAATAGTTAATAACAAATTTTTTTATAATTTTTGACAACTATTTACATATGTTTTATATAATTAAATGTAAGAAATCATAGTTAATCGTGGCTTTCCTTGTTACAATGTTGACTAGGCGTTGGTTGAGCAGCTCTTTTTGTTTGTCGGTATTCGCGAAAGAAATCACAATATAAGGAGATTTTAAACTACCAAGAAGGAGGTGAACCACATTTTGAAAAGGCTCCTAACACTGGTTATTCGGCGGTCGTTGAATATTTGTAAAGTTTACATCCGCCAATGAATTTCTAATATCAGACCCGAAAAATATTGTTTTTTATACTTACGTATCGCATATTGCAAAAGAAGTTATTAAAATACAAAAGGCTGTCGGTCACGGTTGCCAGGAATATGTGTTGTCATATTGAGTATGACTTGGGTATTCTTATCACACAAATTGGGCTCAGTTGTGCAGCTGTAAATCAGTTTAAAGTTTTGATTTGATTGGAACTAATGGTAAAACGTACCAAAAATATTGTGTTGCATTTGCAGGCGCGAAAAATATTGTGAAAATGATTTAGGCATTAAGTTGTATATTCATTTTGATTTTATGCATAAATACAATTCTCTACTGAACAGTGCAGTCATAACTTAAAATGTCTATTAGAAGCCAGCTCCAGGAATGGTTTAAAAGAGGCAGTACCTCGTATATCTCTCTTGCCCCACAAATAATTTTTAAGTTTAATGGAGCTTATCCCAAGCTCCATCAAATATATTCACTAAATTAAGCAACTCCTCAACTAGTTATTCCAAGACAAATCGTATAGTCGAAAGTTTTTAAACTCAAAAGGTGTATTGGTTAGGATACTCAGCAATCCCGATATGAAAACTTCTTTGCCCATAAATTTACTGGGAGTTCCGTCACACCTGCCTCATGGATCATCAATTTAATATTTTTTTTCAACAGCAAGTCATGATTATTC